GTTCTTATCAGAGTTAGGGACTGATAGCACTGGCAAGAGAACAGCATGGTATTGGAAGACAGTAGGTAAGCTTCAGCCATTCTTGATTTACAGCACTTCTTGGTGTTCTTGACCTGAGGCCCACCCACTGCTCTGCCAAAATGCATCTAACTCTTGATTTGCAGAATTCCATGTGTGTCTAGTTTTGAGGTACTCACACAGCTCTGTCAATTCATCTCAAGACACAGTGAATTCATCTTGGACAGCAAAGACCCACCACTAGGAGACACAGTTCTCCAAGCACCTCTCTTCAAACACACATTGAAAGAGGAGACAGAAACATGCATTGCCAGATCAGACCAATGGTCCATCCCGTCCAGCATCCTGTCTTTGACAATGGCCAGTACCTGAGGGCTCACGGGAAGATTCAAGAAACCTCCCAGTGGACAGTTGTGGAATAACCTGCCCATAGAGAAGTTTCTTTCTTACCCCTGTCTGTTAACGATTATTTTATGCCTGAAATGAGAGGGCATATTCCGTCTACGTTTTGTAAAATTCTGTTGTGATGAAAGCAGGGCTGCCCGGGGGGGGGGGGGGGCGGTGAAGGGGGAGCAATTTGCCCCAAGCCCTGGGCCCCACAGGGGCCCCCACGAGAATTTTCCGCCGCACTTCAGCAGCGGGTCCTTCAGTGCCACCGAACACGTCTGGAGCAGAAGGACCCCCGTCGCCAAAGACCCCAGGCCCCCTGAATCCTCTGGGCGGCTCTGGATGAAAGAGGAGCTGCCCTGTAATAATGTATGAAAACTGTATGTTGACCTGTTTATTGGGATGTTTACTGAATGAGTATACTGGTTTAGTTTAATAGGGGGGACTGTAAAGAAAACAAGCAGGAAGGGGAGAAGAATAGCTCAAGATAAGCCATTTTTCAGCAAACACTTGAGAGACAATGCCAGGACTAGAAAAGGCCTGGGAACCAGAAGATCAAAAGGACTCTAGCCATGTAAAAGGGAATTCTCTTTCAAAAGGGGGGAGGGGGTGTACTCTTGGAGGGAGGTTTTTGCAGGGACCAGACTGACACAGGGTGCTGCTTGGGGGGGGGGGGGGGGGGGTGTGTCTGAAGAAATTAGACTTGCCTAGTCACCCTCACAGGATGGTAACTGATTATCCTCTTTCAAAACCCTCCTCAAAACTTCCCTTTTCCATGATGCCTACAAAAAACTTGATTATGGTTAAGTTGCTGTTATGCTGAGGCCATTGCCTATCATGCTGACCAAACTGTCTCATTGTTTCTTTGTACTCCCTTATCTGTCTATATCCACCTATTCTCTGTTGTCTTAGATAGTAAGCTCTTTGGACAGACACTGCCTTTCTGGACAGTGTTGGTATCACGTCTAGGACAATGGGGTCCTGATCCAGGACTAGGGATTCTATGCACTACTGTAATACAAATAATTATTACAGATCTTTAGGTAAGAAAAACATGCATCTGGTCACCATAGACACCACTGGTCATATGCTCCTGAAGGAAAAAAACCGCACATTCTGAACCCAGTCAGACCTGCTGGGTCAGCAGAGTTGATATGCAGGCTACTCAAGCCCAGGGCCCGAAGAGAAGGAGAATTTTTTAATTCCACCCCAGTAGAGGTAAAGCCTTAAGGCCTGACACTGAGGGGTGCACTCAGAGACCAGAAGGGGGACAAAGATGCAGCTAGCCCTGAACCATGGCAGCTGTCTAATGGAACTGTGGATGTTCACTTTAAGTTCTTGGCCTCAGTGTCACCCACTGACAGTAAGTTCCAAAGGTGAAGTATATTTTATGTAAAAAATCATTTCCTTTGATCAGTTTTAAATTTGTTGCATTTCAGTTTCTTTTAGTGTCCCCTTTTTTCCTGTGTTATGAGCAGGGATCCTATTTTTCTGTGATAAAAATCCCAAAATTCTCTGATAAAAAAACATAAAAATCCACGTTTTTCCATGATTAAAATGAAATCTGACAGCGGGAGCCCCACTATGTGGGGCTGTCAGCTGGACCCCTGCCACCCGGGGCTGAAGCGTCCATATCCCATGTTCTGCGTGTATGTTGGTGGCAAGGGGTTCTACTGTATATGTTTTTATTTTTTCCACAAAATGTAAAAACTACAGATTCTCGTAAAAACACAAATTTTGCTTTTTTCTATGGCAAACAGATTTCTAGGATCCCTGGTTATGAGAAGGGTAAATAGGAGTACCTTATTTATCTTCTCTGTACCAGTCATTGTTTTATATATTTGTCATGTCTCCTCGTATTCATCTTTCACTAAACCAAACTGTCCCAATCTTGTCATACTATCTCCAGGTATAATTTTTTCCAGGTCCCTTATAATTTTTATCCTCCATCTCTGAACCTTTGCTAAGATTTCTCTGGTTCTGCTCTATCTGATTCAAAACAGAGTGGCCCAAAGCAAACACAGTATTCCAGGCACTGTACTCTTCAAGGTGCTGAGTGCTCTGGCTCCAATCTGGCAAAGCACTCAATTTATGCATAGCTTTAACCACTGACTTCAGTGGGACTCCTCACACATTTACAGGTAAGCAGGTGCTTGAGTGCTTTGCTGCATTGTGGCCAGGGTGCTCAACGCATTACTGGCCTGAGCTCCAGGTGAGGATGTTCCATTGATTTATATAATGGTGTAATATTTCACTATTTCCAGTCCCATTCATTAAAGCACTCTAACATTTTGTTTGTTTGCTTTTTTGACTGCTACTACATATTGAACAGCAGACTTCCTTGCACTGTCCACAGTCATGCCCGTCTCCTTTTGTGATTGTAATTGTGTGGCAATTTAGAACCACGTAATGTATATTAAGAGTTCAAAATATTCCTCCCAATGTACATTACCTTGCATTTTTCTCCTTTGATTTTTATTTGCCATTGTGTGGCCCATTCACCTTGCTTTGTTAGGTCCCTCTGAAGTTTTTCAGTCTTCTTATCCCTGGTCTACTCTGGGGGATCGATCTAAGTTACGCAACTTCAGCTACGTGAATAACGTAGCTGAAGTCAACATACTTAGATCAACTTACTGGGGTGTCTTCACCACAATGAGTCGACTGCTGCCGCTCCCCCCGTCGACTCCGCCTGCGCCTCTCGAGGTGCTGGAGTACAGGAGTCAACGGGAGAGGGCTCAGGGGTCGATTTATTGTGTCTAGACTAGATATGATAAATGGATCCCTGCTGGATCGATTGCTGCCTGCCGATCCGGTGGGTAGTGAAGACATACCCTAAGTCTTGACTAACCTAAGTAATTTTGTGTCATCTTCAAAATTTGCCACCTCACAGCTTACCTATTTTCCCAGATAACATGAATATAGTAAACAACCACCAGTCCAAGTATGGAACTTTGTGGCACCCTGCTGAAAATAAACCCCTCTATCCATGGAATGCATATTATAAAGGCAAAGCCTATCCCTTTTATGCTGAAATTTAAGTATTTCATTGTAAAGAAACTGACAAATATTCTCTTGCTCTGGTAGTCTCTTCCCAGAAGAGGCCTTGTGTTCTTTTAGGTGGGAGGCTGAACTCCCACACACAGAGTAAAATGCTCTATTCACTCTCTATAGCCACAGCACATCAAGGGACATGGCTCCCACCATCCCCATTTCACAAGTTTGGAAAGATAGCTGTATGAACGAATTAATAGGTGTGGTCCAGCTGTTGTGCTGCTTCAGTATGATCCAAGAGCTTACTGGAAAGTTCTGCAAACTTGTTCATGTAACTTCTGCAAACTCTGTTCATGTAAACAGATTTGTATGCCAAATGGTTGTGCTTCCCTGGCAGGATTTCCATTACACCACAATGCAGAGCAAAGGTGGCTCAGGCAAAAGTGCTGCATACACAAGATTTAGGGCTCGCCTGGGCTAGCTTTTGGACTGTCCAAAGCTTTAGCATGACTCAGGAACATGGTAAAAGTCCCATCTAAACTACAAAATGGAGTTGTGTTATAATCAGGTTTCCAGATGTGCTATTATATGTGGTATAGAGCAACCTCTGGAGAGAGCAGAAAGATCTTCTTAGACATAGTTTATCCACCTCCATACAAACAATGGAGACTAGCGACATCTGAATGTGAACAGGCAAAAATGACAGTGGAGAGGTGCCACTTGGAGCTAGTTTACAGCAACTGGTAAAGATCACACAGTGTTGGGTGCCAAATAGGGCTGGCAAAGCTCCCCTTTCCTACCTGAAGGGCCCCCCACTGCATATGGAACACATTGAGGTGACACTGGACAGGCCAAACCCGATGCTTTCGGTCACAGGGAGTTGTCAGTGTGTAGGCTGGCTTCTGTCCAAATATTCAGCAGGTTGAACCAGCTCTCTTGGGAAAACAGCCAGTTGTTGAAATCCCAGGGGCCCAGCAGTCTCATTCCAGTAAGTTTCCTTGTTTGCATATCCTGGTTGAGAACAGGAACCTCTCTTCTTTATGTGGGAGGTAAATGTTTGTACTTATGAAGGCTTGGTGACCCACCTCCTGTTGGTAACAGCCAGCTTTTTCCTGGAACAATGCCAGGTTGTGAGCATAAATTCCTCCTCTCACTTCCAAACCACTTTCCACATTTGGAAAATCTCTTTCACTGGTTGGAAGCCCATGGGAGTCCTAGTTTCACTGTTTGAAACAGCTCAATTATATTCCCCATTTGGATGCTCTCTCCTGCATCTCTTAGCTAGAATCCTGCTCTGTTGAGAGATTAACAGTGAAAGCAAAGGGGAAAAAAAGGCAAAGTATTAGGAAAAAGCAAAGGAGATTTTGCCTCAGACTAGCACATGCAACTTGCAAAACAATGGTTCAGAGATGAGAGATCTTTAAAACTCAGTCAGTGTCAGTAATGTCTTCCTCGCCCCCTCCCCCCGACTGGATTTTGTTGTGCTGAAAACTCACTATGAGGTTTACGGACAACAGATATAGTGGTCTGTGTGCTCAGGAAGGTACAAAACTACTCTGCATATTTTGTGATGGCTTCATTCCAGTCACTTTGTTAGCTTTTAGCTGCACCAGGTCTTCGTGACATTGCTTGTGTGAATAGTCAGGCAGAACTGGAGCTCTGCCTATACTAATTAAACAAACTGTGCGTCCTGCCAGTGCTTAGGAAGAGAGAGGAAACATGCAAGTTATTCAGACTGGAGCTCCTGCTGAGTGAGGAGTGCCTGCTAGAGATGGGCACTTCACAAAAAGTTTCAATTTTTATTGGAGTTCTGGGAAGAGGAAATCCAGAAACTCTGGTTTTAAAGATGTTAAGCCCTGCCCTGTGTTGGACAGTTTTATCCCCTCTTGCCATTGCTTTGGCAGGTGGCTTGGTGTTTAACTGGCATTTGCCTCTTTTCTTCCAAGAATTAAATAGTTCAGACTCTACTGACGTAATTTAGTTACTAACTTTTTATTACAAATTAACAGACTTATAGTCAGTAAAATAATTTTCTGTTGTAAGTATTAAAAGAGGGGATGTCAAATACAATGAATAAAGGAAGACAGCAGTGTTGAGACAGTACAGATTATAAATCACAGTAAATGTACTAGGTATATATTTTTTTAGAAAAGTTACATCATTTTTTTTTAATCCATTAATTCCATTTGGCCAATCTTGCTTGAACACTTCAGTAGTTAATTGAAGGCAGGCAGTAAGTCATTCCATCTCTTTTAATTATTTTATTTTGGTCAGCCACGTTTCCATAGATATTTGTTTAAAATACCTCAGGCAGAAGGTGAGGGGCAAGGGGTTAGCCTCCCCCAACAGCTGGTTCACCAGCCACCTATACATCTAGCCCAGTATCCTGTCTTCCGACAGTGGCCAATGCCAGGTACCCCAGAGGGAATGAACAGAACAGATAATCATAGAATATCAGAGTTGGAAGGGACCTCAGGAGGTCATCTAGTCCAACCCCCTGCTCAAAGCAGGACCAATCCCCAACTAAATCATCTCAGCCAGGGCTTTGTCAAGCCTGACCTTAAAAACCTCTAAGGAAGGAGATTCTACCACCTCCCTAGGTAACGCGTTCCAATGCTTCACTACCCTCCTAGTGAAAAAGTTTTTCCTAATATCCAACCTAAACCTCCCCCACTGCAACTTGAGACCATTACTCCTCGTTCTGTCATCTGCTACTAGATCCATCCTCTTTGGAACCCCCTTTCAGGTAGCTATCAAATCCCCCCTCATTCTTCCCTTCTGCAGACTAAACAATCCCAGTTCCCTCAGCCTCTCCTCATAAATCATGTGCTGCAGCCCCCTAATCATTTTTGGTGCCCTCTGCTGGACGCTTTCCAATTTTTCCACATCCTTCTTGTCGTGTGGGGCCCAAAACTGAACACAGTACTCCAGATGAGACCTCACCAATGCCGAATAGAGGGGAACGATCACTTCCCTCGATCTGCTGGCAACACTCCTGCTTATACAGCCTAAAATGCCATTGGCCTTCTTGGCAACAAGGGCACACTGTTGACTCATATCCAGCTTCTCGTCCACTGTAACCCCTAGGTCCTTTTCTGCAGAACTGCTGCCTAGCCATTCGGTCCCTAGTCTGTAGCGGTACATGGAATTCTTCCATCCTAAGTGCAGGACTCTGCACTTGTCCTTGTTGAACCTCATCAGATTTCTTTTGGCCCAATCGTCTAATTTGTCTAGGTCTCTCTGTATCCTATCCCTACCCTCCAGCGTATCTACCTCTCCTCCCAGTTTAGTGTCATCTGCAAACTTGCTGAGGGTGCAATCCACACCATCCTCCCGATCATTAACGAAGATATTGAACAAAACTGGCCCCAGGACCGACCCTTGGGGCACTCTGCTTGATACTGGCTGCCAACTAGACATGGAGCCATTGATCACTACCCGTTGAGCCCGATGATCTAGCCAGCTTTCTATCCACCTTATAGTCCATTCATCCAGCCCATACTTCTTTAACTTGCTGGCAAGAATACTGTGGGAGACCATATCAAAAGCTTTCCTGAAGTGAAGGAGTAACATGTCCACTGCTTTCTCCTCATCCACAGAGCCAGTTATCTCGTCATACAAGGCAATTAGGTTAGTTAGGCATGACTTGCCCTTGGTGAATCTATGCTGACTGTTCCTGATCACTTTCCTCTCCTCTAAGTGCTTCAGAATTGATTCCTTGAGGACCTTGCTCCATGATTTTTCCAGGGACCGAGGTGAGGCTGACTGGCCTGTAGTTCCCTGGATCCTCCTCCTTCCCTTTTTTAAAGATGGATCAAGTGATCCATCTCCTATCGCCCATTCCTAGCACAAACAGAGGTTAGGGACACCATCCCTGCCCATCCTGGCTAATAGCCATTGATGAACCTATCCTCCATGAACGTATCTAGTTCTTTTTTGAACCCTGTTATTGTCTTGGGCTTCACAACATCCTCTGGCAAAGCGTTCCACAGACTGACTGCGGTGTGTGAAAGAATACTTCACTTTTGTTTATTTTAAACCTGCTGCCTATTAACTTCATTTGGTGACTCCTAGTTCTTGTGTTATGAGAAGGAGTAAATAACACTTCCTTATTTACTTTCTCTACACCAGTCATGATTTTATAGACCTCTTTGCTATCCCCCATTAGTCATCTCTTTTCCAAGATGAAAAGTCCCAATTTTATTAATCTCTCCTCATACGGAAGCCATTCCATACCCCTAATAATTTTTGTTGCCCTTTTCCAATTCCAGTATATTTTTTGAGATGAGGTGACCACATCTGCATGGAGTATTCAAGATGTGGGAGTACCATGGATTTATATAGTGGTAATATGATATTTTCTGTCTTATCATCTATCCCTTTCTTAATGGTTCCCAACATTCTGTTCGCTTTTTTTTGACTGCTGCTGCACATCAAGTGGATGTTTTCAGATAACTATCCGCAATGACTCCAAGATCCCTTTCTTGAGTGGTAACAGCTAATTTGGACCCCATCATTCTATATATATAGTTGGGATTATGTTTTCCAATGTGCATTACTTTGCAGAAAAGAGAAGTAAAGAAGCAAAGGTTAACAATGGACGAAGCATGAATTCATAAGCGGCCTTGTAAATAATATGTAGCTGGTAGATAAAAAAACAGTAAGAAGCTACTAGCACATTGTCATCAGATGTTCGGCTGCGTGTGTGTTCTCCTTGTGTGCGCAGACAGCTGGCACAGGAGATCTACAGCGAACTGCCAAATGACCACAAAATCTGTGAAGATGCGAAGGCACTTGGTCAGGTTTATTGTCAGCAAAGCATGGTCCTCGCTCCCCAGATCAATGTCTACAGTTACACTAGCACATGTATGCCCGTGACAATGGACGCAGCTCAGTCAGTGGCAGGACTTTCCACTGTCCCCTCAGCTGGGCACAGACGCTCTCTCTAAGGTACATTAAGGTACACAATGCAAACAAATTACGTATCGCCCCTGACGTATAAGGGTGCCACCCTCTGATGTATTAGGGTGCCATCCATTGCCTTGTACCTGTAGGTTCGATCAACACATCTTTATTCATCATGCTGTCATCCTGACCTTATCCTTAAGATGGGGCAGCATGTTTCTGTTATCTTTGGGGAATGTGTTTGGTATCGGGGTGTTCTGGTACCACCTTTCTGGAATGTGTTTGCATTTATATTCTTATGCCTAGCACTACTTAGGAATGTGTGTTTCTGCAGTATCAGTCCTGTTCTTGCCAGATTCTGTGAGCAGGGCCTGCCTCTTGCTCACAACTTAACTTTGCTTTATATCACAAAGTTTTGACTACTTTAGCCCAGGTCTCAGGCCTCATACCAGGCCTCTGATATATGGGCTTATGTTTCAGGCCCACTTCCTACTACACACATTACTCTTCTTACTATTTTTTTTATTTACTAGCTACATATTATTTACAAGGCCACTTGTGAATTCATGCTTTGTCTGTTGTTAATCTCTGCTTCCTTACTTCCCTTTTCTTCCATTGTTCATGCAAGGCCTACAAAATGTAGTTACTTCAAGGCCTCCGAGTTTCCTATATAAACACCTCCTTTCATTGGTACAGTTATTACAGTCTGAAAGGATATGATCTGTTATTTCCTGGACCTTATATGTTATGGATAATCCATTTTTATGTTTGCTAATTAGAAATAAATTTTCTGTTAATTCACAATGCTGTGTTAGAATTCTAAATAGAGCCACTTGGCTCTCTCTGTCAGGGCCTTATATTATATCAACATTATCAGCTGTTGGGCATACTTCTTGGAATTTTTTCCCCTTCCTTTAATTTGCCCACAGTTCAGGTCATTCCTTTTTTAGTTCATTTTTTATCAGTTGATTAAATATCTGTTTGCTTAAGAGGATCCCTAAGTCAATTTGTTCATGATTAATAGCACTTTTTGCCTGTTTGTCTGACAATGTGTTCCCTGCTATCCCTACGTGCACCTGGATCCATGCTCTTACTATCGTTTGTCTACACAGCAGCTAGACACCCATGGCTGGCCCATGCCAGCCGACTTGGGCTCACAGGGCTACGGCTGCGGGGCTGTTTTATTGCCATGTAGACTTATGGGCTCAGGCAGGCTGGACCCTGGGCTCTAGGACCCTGCGAGGCTGGAGGGTCCCAGAGCTTGGGCTACAGCCCGAGTGTCTACACAGCAATGAAACAGCCTCGCAGCCCAAGCCCTGCGAGCCCGACTTGGCTGGCACGGGCCAGCTGCAGGTTTTTCTTTGCTGTGTAGATGGAATTTAACAAGACTCAAACCAGAGCTGGACATTTATATTGATAACAAGTATATTCAGAATTATAGTTATTCTTATATCCAATTGAGCCAGTTTGGTTGTTAGCAGTAGTATTTCATTAAGAAAATCATTTCTGCTGTCAGACTTACCAGGACTGTAAATTGCCTGCAGTCCTGATAAGGAGTCAGACAGAATGGCCACTGCAACTGACCGCACATCTAAAACCCAGTTTATTGCTAGTATAATCCCTGTTAGCTCAGCTGTAAAGACGGATACAAAGTTAGTAGCCTTCTGGCTTTCTTGAGTCCAAGTGAGGGCCTGCAGAAAGCTGTTCCCACTCTTCCTGTTCCTTCCTCTTTGGGGCTGTTTGTAGATATTTGGCAATAGTGTCCCCACTTATCACAAATATATTTATTTGCTACATCTTGTAGATTTATCAGTCTTCTCTTATTTATTTCACTATATAATTCCATGTCTATCACAGGGGGATGGTTTTCCAGTAACAGAATATTTTCCCATAGCTATAGATTTGGGTCTTTTTCAGTCCTTTCTTTGCATTAAGAGCCTTCATCCACTTCTGTACTCTACTTATATAGGGAATTTTGAGTTTTTGTTCTACCGTCTCCACTTAATTTCTAGCAGTCATTATATATTAGCTTTGTGTTGTCATCTTTGCTGTTACCTAATACTTTGGCCCAAAAGGTTAAGTCTGAGAGCTTTCTTATAAGAGTGATAGGCATTTCACTGGCTGCTATGTATAATACACACCGAGGTGTAGTAATGAAGGCCCCACATGTGGTATACAATGCTTATGCTTGGACATAGTCTAGTTTTCTCAGATCTGTGTTCCTTGCTGGACGAAATGCCTAGCATCCATACACAATAATAGGCCTAATTAGCACTCGGGGAGCATTACCACTGTTTTCTTATCCACTGCCCAGGATGTTCAAGAGATACTTTAACGTAAGTTAATTCTACCTTTGCACTCATCTTTAATATTTTCAATATGGTGCCTCCAAGTGAGCTTATTATCAAATATCACACCTAAAAATTCAAAAATGTTCATTGTATTTATCTGCTGGTCATATCGATATAACTTCACAGCATTTTGGATTTTCCTTGTTGTGAAGAACATTCCCTTAGAATCTGAAGACTGTGGAGAATTTGAAATCCCACCTGTTTCCTCATTCTGCATTTCTCTTAAGTGCATCATTGATTCTTTTGGCAGCGCTTTCAAAATTTTTGCTTTGGGCCCATTTGGCAAGTTGTCAGCAAAAAATGTGATCCATATTCCTGTACTCCTCTCCTTAGAGAGGTCATTTATCACGATATTAAAGAGGGTTGGGCTAATTACACTTCCCTGTGGCGTTCCATTTGCAATTGAATATATGTTCGAAAAAGCTTTTTCTATTTGGACTTGTATAGTTATTTTGCTTTAGAAGGCCCTTACCGTCCGAACATTCTTCCTATATTACCCATTGAGGCCACTTTATGAAGTAGTCCTTCTCTCCATACCACACCATAGGCTTTTTCTATGTCCAGGAAGGTTACTATCATGAATCTTTTGGTTCTCGTGCTTTTTTGTAGTTCTGTCTCTATCCTAACAATGTGGTCAATCATACTCCCACCCCTTCTGAATCCGCTTTGCGTTCCATCTATGCACATAGGTCTTTCCAGGTGTGCTACTCATCTCTCTGCTACCATTCTTTCCATGGTTTTACCTAACGTGCTGTGAGGGCAATTGGTATGTATGCCTCAGGGCTTGAGTTCAACTTACTCGGTTTCTTCACTGGGAAACTAATGGCATGTGTCCAGTCCTTAGGTATTTCACCTTTTCTCCATACACTATTATATAATTTTAGTATCACCCTCAAGCTTCCTTCACTTAGGTGTTTAAGCATTTCAGAGCTTTTTTCATAGAATTATAGGCCTAGAAGAGACCTCGAGAGGTCATCTAGTCCAGTCCCCTGCACTCATGGCAGGACTAACTATTTTCTAGATCATCCCTGATGGGGGTTTGTCTAACCTGCTCTTAAAAATCTCCAGTGATGGAGATTCCACAACCTCCCTAGGCAATTTATTCCAGTGCTTAACCACCCTGACAGTTAGGAAGTTTTTCCTAATGTCCAACCTAAATGGCCCTGGCTGCAATTTAAGTCCATTGCTTCTTGTCCTATCCTCAGAGGTTAAGAAGAACAATTTTTCTCCCTCCTCCTTATAACAACCTTTTATGTACTTGAAAACTGTTATCATATCCCCTCTCAGTCTGCTCTTCTCCAGACTAAACAAACCCAATTTTTTTCAATCTTCCTTCATAGACCATGTTTTCTAGACCTTTAATCATTTTTGTTGCTTTTCTCTGGATTTTCTCTAATTTGTCCCCATCTTTCCTGAAATGTGGCGCCCAGAACTAGACACAATACTCCAGTTGAGGCCTAATCAGAGCGGAATAGAGCAGAAGAATTACTTCTCGTGTCTTGCTTACAGCACTCCTATTAACACATCCCAGAATGATGTTCACTTTTTTTGCAGAAGTGTTACAATGTTGACTCACATTTAGTTTGTGGTCCACTATGACCCCCAGATCCCTTTCTGTAGTCCTCCTTCCTAGGCAGTCATTTCCCATTTTGTATGCATGCAACTGATTGTTCCTTCCTAAATGGAGTGCTTTGCATTTGTCCTTATTTAATTTAATCCTCTTTACTTCAGACCATTTCTCCAGTTTGTCCAATTCATTTTGAATTTTAATCTTATCCTCCAAAGCACTTGCAACCCCTCCCAGCTTGGTGTCGTCTGCAAACTTAATAAGTGTACTGTCTATACCATTATCTAAATCATTGATGAAGATATTGAACAGAACCGATCCCTGCGTGGCCCCACTCATTATGCCCTTCAAGCATGACTGTGAACTACTGAAAACTACTCTCTGCAGTCGGTTTTCCAACTAGTTTTGCACCCACCTTATAGTAGCTCCATCTAGGTTGCATTTCCCTAGTTTGTTTATGAGAAGGTCATGTGAAACAGTATGAAAAGCTTTACTAAAGTCAAGATATACCATGTCTACCATTTCCCCCCTATCAACAAGGCTTCCTCCTGAGAAGGAACACTTCTCACAATGTTGTTTAATTCGGGCAACCAGGCCTTGCATTTATTTGTAGCACTGTCTGCATTTTGCACGCATACCTGTCTTACCCAGAGATAGAGGAACTTCATTAAAATATTCCCAAACTGGGTCTCTTTTACGGCCTGTGGCCATTATAGGTTTTTCCCTCTAGTGAGAGAATGGTATGGTAGATCTCGAATCAATGAAGGCTACACTCAGAAAGACCTCAAGACTACTGGAGTATGCTGTGCAAACAGTTTCACTTTTGTTTCTACTGCCTGTCCCTCCCTTCTCACATTTATCTCCAGACTTCTCCTTGTCCAGATCTGTTCCGCCCCGAACAATCTTCTATTCATTGAACTTTTTGAAACTTTGCACTTTTAGAGAGAGGTAAGGGATTGACTCTGTGTACACAAATTTGCAGAGGGACAATAGAGTTGAGGTCTGTTTTTTCTCACCTTTATATATTATTTATTCATTTATTTTAAAACATACTCTCATACTAAAGTTTTCATTTAAAATCTTATCTACATCCTCCTCCCATCTCTTCATCATCTCATAATTCTCCATAATTAATGTTCTTTTCCTATCCCAAATTTCTGTCCTCTATCCTCATCATTACAGATTTTTTAAAACATGGTGGCCAGAATTTCTACTTTTTCTTTGCTGGTGCTTATTATATCATGACTTGTAAATGCATGGCTTGGTATCATGTAGGTCTTACTCTATATTCCATTTATTTTCCTAAGTTGTTTATATACCTGTACAGCAAATGCAGCTGGGAAAATTACAGATTTTGAGGTCAGCAACCTTTCAGAAGTGGTGTGCCGAGTCTTCATTTATTCACTCTAATTTAAGGTTTCACGTGCCAGTAATACATTTTAACGTTTTTAGAAGGTCTCTTTCTATAAGTCTTTAATATATAACTAAACTATTGTTGTATGTAAAGTAAATAAGGTTTTTAAAATGTTTAAGAAGCTTCATTTAAAATTAAATTAAAATGCAGAGCCCCCTGGATGGTTGGCCACGACCCGGGCAGTGTGAGTGCCACTGAAAATCAGCTCATGTTGCCTACCCCTGCTCTACAGTATTGGCATCTTTATTGACTTTCCTGCAATATGTTCTCCAGATGTCTCTTTTTGCCCTTTTTATAGTCCTTTGTGCAACTGTCTTTTTTTCATTTTTTAAAAATATTTCATTAAATCCTTGCTAGGTAAGGAATTTTTTGCTGTCTTATATGCCTTATTCCTTTCCCTGATTACCACTTCACATTCCTTATTCCACCATGGTACCCTTTGCCTATCTCTGAGTGATGTTGGTATCCTAGGAATAGCTAGGCTGGCTGCATTTATGATTCCCTTAGTAGCATTATGACAGAATTCCTCAATATCGTCATTTACACGTTGCTCATTCACATATTCCACACTTTCATTTCTAACGAGCTTCCAATTGCTTTTCTTAGATTCCAAGTAGAGATATTATCCTCATCTTTGATATTTCCTTTTCCTTGATATGTAATTAACGTCAGGATGTGGTCACTACCCATTCCCTCTTCTCTGTAATTTTCCCAGCTGCATTTACTTGCTATGGTACTAGAAGCTATTCCCAGAGCCAAGCATGTGACACTTCTGTCAGCTATATTGAACCTGGCCAGGGTTCTATCATTTAATATTACTAACTTATTCTCTTCAAAGAATTGCTCTAAACCAGTGGTAGTCAATGGGCCGAATCCGAACCACCAGACGTTTTGAACGGACCCCAAAATCTTTTTATTTACTTATGATGATGATGATTGTTATGTTTGTATTTATTTTCTCTGGAGTCTGGACCTTGACTAGACCTTGACCAAGAAATTTGGACCTTGACAAAAAATAATTGACTACCCCTACTCTAAACATTTTCCATTTTTATCATTTTTCTTACTTTCCCACAATCTGTTGTAACTATTCAGATCAGCACAGATAATGAATGGGCATGTGACATCTGTAATTAATTCTTTCAGGTCCATCCCCTCTAGTTTCTTGCATGGGTTATAAATATTATAAAGTCTTAAAGATGCAAGAATTGTTTTGCATCAGTATCTCAGTAACATTATATTTGATATTTAGCTTTTTAATCTCTACTTCAAGATAGTTCAGGGTTCTCCTTCATGAAGATGCAGACACCTCATCCTTTCCTGTTTCTTTACACCACATGGTGGGATTTTATAATCTAGTTTTCCTGTTAGCCAAGTCTCTTGTACGCATATTATCTCATGCTTTGTTTTCATATCAATAATATTTTTCATTTAATAATTTCATTTAATAATTCCTGTCCATACGCTATTAGGCTATGGGCATTCTAACTGAAAATAGTCACCACCATTCTTTAACCTTCAACAGAGCCAGTTATCTCATCATAGAAGGCAATCCATTTGGTCAGGTGTGACTTGCCCTTGGTGAATCCATGTTGACTGTTCCCCATCACCTTGTGTAGTCAAATAAATCTGTGCAAAGTGGCTGTGAAATGCTCCCAAAACACAATTGTAGCACTTGGGCACCGAGTTAAATGACTGCACACGGTACAGTGCAGGGAGGCCCTGAAACTATAGATCCAAAATCATTCACATACTGTTTTTCTTACACAAATAGCTTGTGAACAATTCATCCTGAATATTCAGTATTCAGTGTTTGTTAGTTAGCCTAGTTTTGGCTTTAAGAAGGGCTAGGTGAGAGGGACAGGGCATAGTTTGGGATATTGTGGGGTAATTACTGTTTGTATTTGAAGATAGGTAGGAATGAGACCATGTCTACACTACCACTTATGTTGGCAAAACTTATGTTGCTCAGAGGTGTGAAAAAACCTCCCTCCTAGCAACATAAGTTTTGCTGGCTTAAGCAGTTGAGGGAGGGTTGTGGGTCTGTCACTAGGGGTGCACAGCACTATATTGGTGGGAGGTGATTTAATCATGTCAGCGGGAGAGCTCTCTACCACCAGCATAGAGCAGCTACCCAAGAGATCTTATAGCAGCGCATCTGCATCGGTACAGCCATGCCATTGTAAGCTCTCTAGTGTAGACATAGCCTAATGTATTTATTTCTGATTCGTGATTTTATGTAATGGCAAGGCACATTAAGCCATCTTGGAGGATGCTTAGTGTTATATCTAAATCTAAATTAATTGTTTTTAACAGTGACTGATCAATGCAGTATGAATTTCAAATTTAGAACATTACAATTGACTATAGAACTGAAAAATTGCTTTTAGCAAACACTGAAGGATACTTGTCATAACATTTGGTTTGCAGTGAGTATTTGCACTACTAAAGCTTGAATGCTTTAAAATGAAAGGCTCATGGGAAGAGATAATTGTTTTAATCCAAATGAATATTTGTGGAAGATTTTTCCACTATTTGGTCAGTTCTAGTTTTTATTGTGAAATGTGGAACATTAATGCACAGAAATACTGCAGAGTTTTTGAAGAGGTATGAGGACATCTAGTGGTTGATGTCCCTAAGTACATGCTGAGATCTCCCTGTGGGATCTATCTCTCCAGAAAGAGGAAATATGCAGAAATGATGACACTATTTGAGTTTTTAAAGCAAATATATCTGAAGATGCCAAAAGCTAAAACTGTTCATGCTATTTCAAAATCTGAAACTCATTAAACACTCATTGATTCTCAGAATGGGCTTCTTGATCAGTGCTCAGTGACATGGCCCATTCCTATTGTGAAACATGTCTGAAAAGATGAAGGCTATCAGTTTTACACCTAGCACATCGGTGATTAAAAAATGGGTGTGTGCATGGGCCTGACTGTATTCAGAAAAGTATCTTTTCTACCAATACGGGTTGTTAGGAGGAGGAATAACATTTTCTTTTACCTTTGAAATAGCTAGGCCTTGAGCACTTGTGCCCCAGAATGCGCTCTTCCTACAGACTATGTGAGATTTGAATTTGTAAATACCAGGGCCCATCTGAAAGTGAACCAGGGCTGTTGGTTCCCTTCTAATGTCATCTGAAAGGTAGAGGGGGAAGGTTCTTCTCTCTCTGCTCAACTTTGAGGTGGTATCAGAGGAGACCACTGCGCAAGTTTGGCAGATTTTCTGTGCAGCTCCTTGGTATTTCCAGATGTTCTGTGATCTGGATGGAGCACAAATTTGATTGATTGATTCAAATATTTTTTGAATATATGCTACAAAGATAAACTCACAGGCACCCACCCCTGGTGACAGACCCACTACCTTCCCTCAACTATCAAATCCTTACAGTAATCTGTCGATGTCTGCTCAGGAACTCCTACAACCCTAACCAGCACAGCATCTAGTAACTGTAGGGAGTGGATACTTTTGGATACACTACCTGATTTTTCAAATTGGAAAATAACAGCAGTATGAAGTCTCAGAATGACCTCCAAATCATCATGAATAACAGGGCAGAGGGATGGCAATGTTATGTACAATGCTCGTACACTCTCCTTTCTTCTGCACCTCAGCTTAAGTCTTTGCTGAAGCTCAATGTTTTCCCTTTTCAGATTTTTCAGAAAGTATGACACAGAATTACCCTCTGGGCTATGTACATAAAATGCTGATTCGTAGGTGTTAGTACTTCCCAGTCAACTCCAAAGAGAGACTAAAATACAGTTTCTTAGTAAAACAAATATGTAACACACAGAAAACATATAGTTGAGATACTGCGAATAACTTTTAAACAAAAGCTTCTAAGCAATATATCTCCTGGTATTCCTTATGCAGACTTTGCCCACGTTGTTTCTGTTACATATATTTAACTATAAGGCTCCAATTTAACACTTACAGCCCTACATTGCTATGATTCTCTGTGGATTACAAGTACAAGCTTCATTGTGTGGCATGAGAGCACTATATCCCAATATCAGACAAGGAAGTCAATGAATTCTCTCTGTGGTAATGAAGAAGCAAAGGTAAGATCCTGAACACCACTCCCCCCAGCACCCTCCAATCACAAGCTCCTTTGTGCTGGGTAAAAGTGCTGGGGTGGTGTACACGGGCACGAAAAGCCCTGTAACTGTCTGGGGGAAGATTCCTCCAGCTCAGTCCTGGTAGACGACATTGTAAAGTTGTCTTCTGGGAATCTCTCACAAGCCCTAGGAGATGGGGTGTGGCTATGGGCAAAATAGGCTTGTCAGGAATGGGGCCAGAGCACACAGTGCTCCAGAGATCCAGGCAGTGCTATGGCCCACAGTGGAATCTGATGCCCCTGTTGAAACTTAGGACATCCTCAGCTTCCCCTTGGGGTGGTAGAAACAGAACATGTGACAGTGTGTATTTTATTCCACCACTCGGTACTATGGTGGCCCTCACACAGGAGAGCGTGTGCGGTGCAGCCCACTGCACATATTTCTATGCCTTGTCCATAATGTGAATCTCATCTCTGTAGACACTGCTGCTACTTGACTCATTTGGATTCAAATCAATGTCCATAAAAGCTTTGGGGCAGGGAACCATCTTTTCTTTCACGTTCGTACAGTGGCCAACACAACCATAGCACAGATCTTGATCAGTATGTCCATGTGCCATTGCAGTGCTGATAATAATCAGGAATAATAATAATAACAAACAAGCATAAAACACAACACAGGCAAGTCACCCAATTTCCTCTTGGACTAAGGCACTTCCACTTCCATAACGTGTAGCAGTAACGCTATTAGAAAGACTATAGACAGAACAATAACAGGAGTGTGGCAGTACAAAAAGGCGTTAGCTCATATAGGTGAATGGTGATCCCTGCTGTTCCTCACCAGGAAGGAGTTGCAAAGAGACACCAGAACTGAATGGAAATCTGTGGTTTAATGTGGGATGCAGTATTTTAATGGCATATTCCATCCTTGCAAAATTAGAGTTGCTCACTCACTTAGGAAAGTACTTCCTTTTTCAACATGAGCTCAGTAACGCCCCCAGCCATGGAATGGCTTTCCCCCTTCTCTGTATATTTTTTCTGGCGTTTGCATGACCATTTCTGAATATGTTGAGGCACACTGTTCAGCTGGGTGTGCAGTCCTGTGGCATGCCCTCTTCCCCCTAGAAATGTCATTTGATGGAGTGGGTGTATAAACACCACACTGGTTAATCAGGGTTAACAGGAGCCTGAGCCCAGTTAGGCTATAGTGTGGCACCTGGAGGGGTGTTAGGCATTACTGGTGATCAAACCCAACTGGGTCTTCATGAAAGAAGAAGCACAAGGCAGTGGAAAAAGGGGCAGGGAAGAAACCTGTGTGAGAGAGGCTTGATTTCAGAGCTAGTGGGTCCTGAGCTCGAAAGAAGTCTGGGAGGCTAGGGGCTGCAAAGTCTAGGATGATAGGCATGTTTTCTTTAGTTGTGAGGAGCTAGAGGCAATGAAGCACAAAAGGCAGTAATAGTAAAGCTTAAGGGGTGCTTGGATTGAAGTTTGGGGGACTGTGGAGAGGTGCTGTAGGAAGGGTAGGCTCCTGTGGCAGCCCCTGAGGAGGGAGTTTCCAGGGAGGAAGCTCTGTGAGGCAGATCTCTGAAATAAAAGCAAGAAGGAATTTTGCAGGCATCAGGCTGAGTCCCAGTAGGAAACCCTGCAGAAGGAGGCTGTGGGCCCTTGAGAGTTCTTTGAATGGTCTACACTGAAGATCCTGGCTGAGGATCTATGGGTCCTAATAACCCCTAGCCAGAGAAGCGGAAGACACTGGAACTTCAAGCACTGTTTTATGTAAACTTGGGAGTGGAGTACCCTGAAAGGTGTGTGGAACTCGAACATGACCTGGCTGGACTCTGGAGGGCTGAGTCATGAGAAGAAGTGACTCATCACAGAACTAGCACAACTGTTGGCAAGGGGTGCTGGAGACGAAGGTGCTGCTACACCCTACCCAACCATGAGGGCATGCATCTGCAGTAAGCCCAGTCTTCTACACATCACGAATCAAACACTGGTGGTAACTAGAGAACATCTGAAATTCGGGGGTTAAAATGCAGTTGCTGACACACTGAGCTCCAACATTGTTAGTGGCTGCAGCTATAATCTCTTAATGTGGATTTAATTTGTCAAGTGATAAGGCGATTCAGCCATCCCAATGATAAACCACCAAAATAATCACAGTCGCATCAGCAGTATTTCTGTTTTAAATTAGAGAAGCTAGTCTCCAAGTCTTGCCAAGAAAACAAAGAGCTTCTGGGGGTAGGTGCTGACCACTGACCTTGCTATGCTTAATCTGTTGACATTTGGCTTCCCCATTGAAGAGATTTCTAGGATGCTGTATGTAGGGATTACATTATAGGTCCCGCATCATTTAAAATGAAGACTGGAGACCTTAGTGTGGAGGACTGGGTTGCTCAGAAAAGTTAGTGGAACACAGAGACTTTAATCTCTCACCTGTTGGTCTGAGGCCAGGCCAGGCCAGTGGTGGTGAAAAGCCATCCCACGTGGTGGTGAAAAGCCATCCCTCATGATGGCCATTTGCTGCCCCTTACTGTATGTGACCTGAATTTCCAGGCTGGAAGGATTACTTCTTAGTGGACAGATGTCCGCACCGTAGTTGGTACAAATTGGTCCTCCTTGCTGTCATCCTGAGATTAAAGGACACGGGCTGTGAGATACAGAGACTGAAACCTCCTTTTAGACACTATTACTGCATTGAATTACCTATTTGGGGGGCAAGAGTGGTTGTCTCACTTTTTCTTGTGTAAGCAGTGTCAGGATGAGCTCCGCCCTGACATCTGGTGGTGAGGTGTGGTAAGTTGTGGAAAAGAACTTCAGGGGCTGATCTCATTTGCATAGGCACACCCACCTCACCTAGAATGAGGCCATAGCTGCCCAAATGGTCACTTTGGCTGCTGTGGGATCCCCAGTGTCTCTGTTATTGGGGCAGGAAGAATAAATTGTTATTACCCTGATTATGGGAACTGTGCTTGGAACTGTACTTGGCCTTTTGTTATGATGGAGGGACTCACTGTCAACTAAGTAGCACTCACTAGGCAAGGGTCATGGGTTCCAAAACTGTGTGAATTGGAAGAGGCTGGGGGCAAGTATTAATACTTGGTGGTATGGGCCTGTTGGTGAGGGCCTTATGTGTTAATTGCACTTCCTCCTCTCTCTACTGTGGAATATCAGGGCTAATTTTGATTTCATTAGAAGTCTAGTTACAGGCTGCTGAGCTCACTTTAGGCTAATAGTGCACAAGCACTGAGGCTCCCCTACTACAAGCTGAATTCACCAAAGAGCTGAACTGACTAAAAGCTGAAATCACTGAGTGTTGTGTTAAGTAGTGGGGGAGCCTGAAGATATATTGTGGAGCAGTTTGCGGGACGGCTGGAGTGCCTTGTGGACGGGCTGGTGGAGCAGTTCATAGGATGGCGGGAGCTGCTGGTGGGACACGGAGCAGTTTGTGGGACGGCAGGAGCTGCTTGTGGGCCGCAGAGGGGAGCTGAGCAAAGCAGTTCGTGGGGCGGCTGGCGGAGCGGAGCCCTATGGAGCTGTGGGGCAGTCAGCTTCAGATCGTGTAAGGTGCCTCTTACCCCCGCCCCCATCTCCACCCAGGTTGGGAGGTAAAGCTTTGCAGATAAACTTTCGAACTCTGGGGCTGCCCTGACCAGGGACAGAGACTTTTGGGTCATTAGACTTTTGTGCTTTGGTGTATCAGAGGATGGAGATAGCTATGAAACTCATCAGCAATATGTATCCCGACTAAGAGAAAAGCTGCGGGATGCTTATCGCTTAGCTACCGCTGCGGCTCGGAAGAACGCAGACCGCAACAAACATCGATATGATGCTAGAGTGCGTTTGCAGGAGCTGCAGCCGGGGGACAGAGTCCTGCTGCGAAATTTGGGTATTGCTGGCAAACACAAGATAGCTGACAGATGGAAGGCAATACCTTACCTGGTGACTGAAAAGCTGGGAGATCTGCCGGTCTACAAGATCAAACCTGAAGACGGTCCAGGGCAAATAAAGACAGTGCATAGAAACCTCTTGCTCCCTGTGGGGGAATTGGTAAGCACCCCTTATGAGATGGGCCACAACAGGGCAGCCGAGCAGAACAGAGGTGCTAGACCAAAGCTGCCATCCAACACAGACAGCGGGCCCCATGCAGCTAACTTACCCCTATTCTGCACATCTGAGAGTGAGTTTGAGGAGGAAGACACAACCCTGGTGTATCCTGGGATGGAGACAAGATTTCAGTCTCGATCAGCTGAACCAAACGAGAGTTTTCCCTCTTCCACCCTAAACCCCATGGCGGAATTATTTAGGCCCATTTCTGACACCCCTGTGCCACTGATGGGACCCCCGTGTGATGACACACACAGGTTATTGGACAGTGGAGACACACAGGCAGAGGATGTCCTAGGCACCTTGGACCCTCCAGTGTTAGAATTAGGAGTGCAGGGGCCTAAGCCAGTAGCCAAGGGACCCTCAAAGGAAGCCTCTTCATCCGTCACTCAAGAGGATGTTCCCCCTACCTCGGCAACAGAGATTCTCAATAGATGAGACAGGGTGATAAGACCAGTGAAACGGTTAACTTATGATGCACCTGGGGTGACTAGTGAGGAGCCAATACATTTAGCACACAGGCTTGTGGAAGCTAAAGTGGGCTTCCTGAGGCCCTTTGGAGGAAACCAATGAGTTGGTATAAAGGGAGTGTGATTTGTCGGGACGACAAATTCTCGTCTGGGGGGAGGATGTAAGCAGTGTCAGGATGAGCTCCGCCCTGACATCTGGTGGTGAGGTGTGGTAAGCTGTGGAAAAGAACTTCAGGGGCCGATCTCATTTGCATAGGCACACCCACCCCGCCTAGAATGAGGCCATAGCTGCCCAAATGGTCACTTTGGCTGCTGTGGGATCCCCAGTGTCTCTGTTATTGGGGCAAGAAGAATAAATTGTTATTACCCTGATTATGGGAACTGTGCTTGGAACTGTACTTGGCCTTTTGTTATGATGGAGGGACTCACCATCAACTAAGTAGCACTTGCTAGGCAAGGGTCATGGGTTCCAAAACTGTGTGAATTGGAAGAGGCTGGGGGCAAGTATTAATACTTGGTGGTATGGGCCTGTTGATGAGGGCCTTATGTGCTAATTGCACTTCCTCCCCTCTCTACTGTAGAATATCAGGGCTAATTTTGATTTCATTAGAAGTCTAGTTACAGGCTGCTGAACTCCCTTTGGGCTAATCGTGCACAAGCACTGAGGCTCCCCTACTACAAGCTGAATTCGCCAGAGAGCTGAACTGACTAAGAGCTGAAATCACTGAGTGTTGTGTTAAGTAGTGGGGGAGCCTGAAGATATATTGTGGAGCAGTTTGCGGGACGGCTGGAGTGCCTTGTGGACGGGCTGGTGGAGCAGTTCATAGGATGGTGGGAGCTGCTGGTGGGATGCGGAGCAGTTTGTGGGACGGCAGGAGCTGCTTGTGGGTTGCAGAGCGGAGCTGAGCGAAGCAGTTCGTGGGGCGGCTGGTGGAGCGGAGCCCTATGGAGCTGTGGGGCGGTCAGCTTCAGATCGTGTAAGGTGCCTCTTACCCCCGCCCCCATCTCCACCCAGGTTGGGAGGTAAAGCTTTGCAGATAAACTTTCGAACTCTGGGGCTGCCCTGACCAGGGACAGAGACTTTTGGGTCATTGGACTTTTGGGACTTTGGGTGATTTGGGGTTGCTGGACTCAAGAACCAAAGGGGAAGGGCATGCCTCCATTTGCTTGGGGTGGGTTTTTTTTTGCTCATGGGTTGTGTTATGAATCCTGTTGGTGGTGTTTCCCCAACATAATGCCACATTGTTTCTCTCTGTTATTAAAAGGCTTTTTGCTACACTCAGACTAAGTGCTTGCGAGAGGAGAAGTATTGCCTCTTGGAGGCGCCCAGCAGGGGTGGTATATATTTGTCCCAGGTCACTGGGTGGGGGCTCGAGCCGGTTTGCAGTGTGTTATTGGAATGGATCCCCTAGATATTGAACCCGGCCCTTGTTGCTGCCAACTCTGATGGGCAGAAGGGTTACACTTGTACCCTGGCATCTTAATCTGCTGTCTTTCCAGCTGAGAATTGAGCTAGGAAGTAGAATTCCCAGAACTGGTGGGCTAATGACATAGAAGTAAGTAACACTGATCATTCTCTTTCACACACGTAATTATCTTTTTCCTGGGAAACTACAGCAGTTTGGCTTGTTTTTGCTAGAGGAATCGGATTAAACTTAGACTGTAAACTTTCTCTCTAATAGAGAATTGAAAGTAGTTGAGTTCTCACTCTCCATGTCTCCCATTGTTCATTGTTGTTCAGACCCACTCTTGTCTATTACAGAGTAGGTGATTAATTGCATTCATTTCTGCTTCACAGAAGCCCAAGTTCGTCACTACTCCTGAATTTCACAGAAAGCTCAGTGGAAACAGCAGCACTGAAACCTTTGTCTGTCTAGCAGCAAGAGGGTTAACTCAATGATTCAGCAATCTGAGGTTCGCATGGCAACAATAATTAGGGAGGCTATTAAACAGTAACTACTAAAGTTAGCTTTGAATCTCCAGGACCAGATAACTGCATCTCACAGTTCTTTGGCCAGTTCTTTAAAAACGTTTAGCTATTGAGGGTGAAATTTAACACATCTCAAATACTGAGGAGGTTCCAGAAGACTGGAAAAAAGCTAATGTATCAATATTTAAAAAGAAGAATAACTGGAATGACCCAAGTATTTATAACCAGTTGGCTTGACATTGATTCTGGGGAAAATCGTTGAATGGCTGATATGGGAATGCCACCAATAAAGAATGTAAGGATTGTAACATAATTATTGCCAGTCAGTAGGATTTTATGGAGAATAGGTCTTATCAGACAATCTTTATTATTTTTGGAGGATATTGCTGGTTTGGCTGACTTAACATTAGATTTCTCTAAGGCATTTGTCTCCCCAGTTCCTCACCTAGAATGGGGCACCACTGCTCACAAGTGCCCTGGAGACTTGTCCTCAGTCTGTTTAATCAGTTCCTCTGGCTCAGCTCCCTGAATTGCTGCAGAAAGAAGATGGCTAGGCTAGATTCATAGCCTTCAGAAGGTACATCATCCTGCAGCCAGGGTGTGATTAACAGGTCACAGAGACGTACTCTCAATGGCTGTGGTCCATCTAGCTCACTAAAAACAGAAGTGAGGACATGGCAGCATGGACTGCATGAGTGTAGCCCTTCCTCCAGGTGGTGCCAGCAGCAACCAGGGCTGGGTTCAATATCTAGGGGTTCCTTTCCATCCATACAGCATAGAACCGACTCGAGCCCCCACCCAGTAACCTGGGAAAATTACACACCACCCCGGGCACCTCTGAGAGGCAATACTTCCCCACTCGCAAGCACAGTCTGAGTGTAGAAAAGAAACTTTTAATAAAAGGAGGGAAGTGATTAAAAGTGTTAATTTGGGAAAACACAGCAAACAGGATTCATAAACATAAACCATGAGCAAAAGACCTACCCCCACGTAAGTTGGGCATTGTCCTTTTCCCCTCAGATTCTTAAGTCCAGCAACGTAAAAGTCCCTTTAACGTGCCCATCCCTTCACTGCAACCCATTCTCAGTTGCTATCCTTGGTCAGTGCAGATTCAGAGTTCACCTCCCACCCTGGGTAAAAGTACTGAGGCACCTTACTCGCTCCATGGCCTCTCTCTGCCAGCCACCCTACTGGTCGTTCACTGCGCCTCTCCGCCAGCCGCTCGCTGAGCCACCTGGCCACCCCACCAGTTGCTCACTGTGCCACCTGGCCGCCCTGCCAGCCACTTACTCTGCTTGCTGCCTCACCATCTGCTCATTCACCAGCCAACTGTCAGTCACCTGCCTCGACCTCTGCACATCAGTCTCTTAGTGATTTTCAGCTCTTTCCAGGCTGGGCAGAAACACTGCCCCATCACAACTGACTTTTAGCTCTGATTGAACATTTTAAAATAACAAAAAGGCTCCTAATGAAGCCCATTTAGTTCTTTCTTTAAAGAGTGGGAAGGAACAGGTTAAACCAGCCCAGGAAGAACCCTTGGTGAAGTTGTGCTACCTCCTAGCTGTGCTACACCTGTCCCCTCTCCTTCCAATCTTAATGCTTCATAGAGGGTCTGGGTTTTTGGAAATCTTTCCTTGGTATCTGAAGCTACTTTGAGCTCAGATACTATGGTGATGACAGGTTTCAGAGCAGCAGCCGTGTTAGTCTGTATTCGCAAAAAGAAAAGGAGGACTTGTGGCACCTTAGAGACTAACCAATTTATTTGAGCATAAGCTTTCGTGAGCTACAGCTCACTTCATCGGATGCATACTGTGGAAACTGGATTTGTGGAAACTGGATTTGTGCTGGAAATGGCCCACCTTGATTATCGTACACATTGTAAAGAGAGTGGTCACTTTAGATAAGATATTACCAGCAGGAGAGTGGGGTGGGAGGAGGTATTGTTTCATGGTCTCTGTGTATATAAATCTCTCCACTGTATTTTCCACGGTATGCATCCGATGAAGTGAGCTGTAGCTCACGAAAGCTCATGCTCAAATAACTTGGTTAGTCTCTAAGGTGCCACAAGTACTCCTTTTCTTTTTATGGTGATGAGTGCATAATAAATACATAGATTAAGATGTAAAGCTGTCCAGAGTGCATAGCTGCTTGCCCAACATCTTACAGTGAGCTGACCACATTCCAACTGCTCTGTACCCTGACCCCAGCCACAAATTCTCACTTTTCACAATCTGCACCAACTGGGAAGCAACTCTGCCTGTTCTGTGTGACAAAGTTGTGTTTAATTTAAAGGTTCATCTCTACTGCACGCTGCTTTCAGCAGTAGGTCTAGGTAGCAGTGTAGCTGGTGAGGCTTGGCTTAGAGAAGTAAAGGAAGTGTTGGGGGGGTATATGAGCATGTACCCTGCATGTCTCTATTTGCCCAAGCTGTGCCTCACCAACTACTCTGCTAATTTTAACGGTGTAGTGTCTTGCTGACTGTCCACCTGCTGGAGCCTTTCCCTGCAAAGGGGGAAGGCAGCTGGGAAAGGCTGAGCAGTGAAAAGCAGGCTGTGCCCATTCTGATTCGTAGCTGTACCTGACAGTGACTGGCTCTGGCAGAGAGGGGGCAGTGGGAAAGGTTCAGCTCCCTTGCTGCCTCCCTTGTGCAGCATGTCAGTGAAAGGCTCTGGCAGTGTGGAAGCAGCCTGCTTTTCATCGTGACATGTA